CCTTCCATGATGGAGAATAAGCATGCAAATAGAAAACCAGGCCACAATACAAATAATATATGGAATTAAAAACCCTATTGCTCACTTAACTGACCAAACGTTCACTTTAAGGTAATCATCTGATGAGTCCACATGAGCAAACGGGCTTTGCAAAATATTTGAAAGATTAGCATTTGTCTCTCTTGATTATCTCCAGATAAATATTACATTGTAATCCTATAATTTCTGCACTGAATATTTGGCACTGTGTCCTGCCATGAGCAAAATGATTGAGTCAAACATACCTTTCATGAGCAAGTGGAAGCGAATAACGCAGAAAAGATGAAAAGATGAAACAACCCACTCACTGCCTCCACAGCACGTTTTTGCCTGAGCCAGATCTCCTGGCTCCCAACTCAGAGCCTTACCTACTTTTCCCTGAACAAAACACAAGGATAAAGAGCAGTTCAAGTGACAGACACACTACACATTAAGGAGGTAAGCTTCATATGCTTTCTGGGGCCTAAGATAATTGATATCAGTACAAACATCCCTTTACAGAGTAGACCTTTACATTATAAAATAATAAAAATGAACAAAGCAGCAGAGAGCAATGACTTGCATCCTATTCATTAACACAAAAAAAATACTTTTCCCTGTTGTGATTACTGGGTTACCACACAAATGCAATCAGTGCCTGGATTGGCAGTGACAGCGCAATTCAATTTTATGATTTATTTCAGGAAGGAGTTGCATCCCAATGTGAAGTGCCAAAAATCAGATGGCTACAAATAAGAAGGGAGTTAGAATAGCTTGGGTCCCTTGCACGACTTTCTCCTCCCACCCATCTGCAGCTCTGCAATGCTCAGGCACGGAAAAAACCTTGAGTACCAAGCTCCTCTCGCTCAGAGACATGAATGTGACTTACAGCTTTAATTAATACAAATGGGTGGCACACATGAGATGAATTGGGTATGACACGCAGATTGCTTAAGCCCTATATAAAAACAGATTATACCGAACGTTTTGATATCCTGATTTTACAAAATGTCTGATGACATCAAGCTTTGGCGAGATGCTATACGTTCACTGCTTCTCGGCTCCTTAGAAAAGTAACAAATGAAGTGAGAAGAACACTGGAAAAATCTAATAGACAAACTGACTAATCTCAGACCCCAAGGTCACAGCAAAGCAATTCATTTCTTGGCTTTTCAACAGCACAAGACATGATTTATCAATCTGAGGCCAGGCTTATAAACACTATACATCTCAATAATATGTTCTTTGCACTGTGTAACTTTTTAAACAATGATAGATTGCCTGGGCTGGACCAAAGTTATTTTACAAACAGAAACAGAATATTTGCAAATGAAATGCTCCATTAGAGAAAAAAAAATATGCTGGAGAGCAACTATAGTTAATTGCAACAGCTAAGGAATCAAAACTTTTGATATAAAATATATCCTTTAAAAATCTCTTCTTCAACATTTGGCACAACTCATTTTTGAAGACCATTAAAACAAAAATATTTCTCATGTGTAACAACAGCACTAACAAAATCTTACATCCCCAACAAAAATTATGATTTGAGCTGAAGGAGGACGGTGAATCAATAACTCTAGCTGCCCACTTGATCACAGACTTCCTTGAAGTCATTAAGGAGTTTGAGCCTTTGCTTCTCTCCTTGAAAACTAAAATATTATTTTCTTTCTCCTCCACCAAGAGCCTAATCTTTACAACACAAAGCCTTCAGGCTAATCATCTGCTCATACTGAGGATTTAGATCATAAAATTTTTAAAACAGGTTTCTCTTTGGCCAGTATCTAACACAATCTGGCTTTGACTTTGATTAGGCTCTCCAGGCACATATCATCTCCCCTGTAATTATTTTCTCATTTGGAGTTCCTACAAGCCCTTCCAAAGGGGAGCGCTGATCCCACGCTCTGCCCCAACGCAGGGAAGGGCCACATGGGCTAGAGCTGCTCTCGAGGTCTTGACTGAAAGAGCTCAGCTGGGTTCCTGAAAGTACAGAAGAGATGCTCGAGAACACGCATGAGCTCGAAGACAACGTATAAGAAATGAGTTGGAAAGTTCAACATGCCTGATTTCCAGACCTCTGAATTTACCACTCTAGGCAACACGGCCCCCGTCAATTTTCAGGTAACAAATTCTCTTTCAGAGACCTGTCTGTTCCCTCACTCACTTATCATTTAGGTGAAAAATGCAACCTCAGTTTGAATAGGGTTAATGCTTACAAGGTGAGAACTCCCTAAGGATCAAAGCTGCCCATGACATGGCTGTAATTCAAGTATTTCATCTCAAACAGCAATCGTTACTGCATGCAGAATATAATCTTTAAAAAGTGAAAATAGAGAGAGATTTGTTATTATATTTCAATGCTGTTCCAAATGCTCCTGAAAATGTAATTATTTCAGGCTACTTTAAAAAAACACTATGCATGAAAGAAGTTGAACATTGCAAATACAACTCTGTGTGAAACTAACCCCAACTTTGCATTGCCTCAGGCCCTGCTAATACTGTACAGGGGCAGCTGATTAGCAACGAGGAATAAAGAAATGAATCCATGCTGAGAACTGAGGCAGCAGAAAGGGTTTTAGCAGGAGACAGAAACAGCTACTTTTACATCTTAGGGTAAGTGAGGTTATATTCATGTTCTCTGGAGTGTGCGAAAGAGAGACTGCACCATCTCCAAAGTGAAAATCAGCGTTACTTCCAAAAAAGTCTGCTCAGAAAGTAGCAGTACTCAGTTTTAATTTTCTTCCCTCTTTTTTTCATTTTCTCTTCTAGAATCTGCAGGGTGCTTCTCCCCGTGTGGCTCCCTGCATCTAGGGTTTCACATCGCCGAGGCAGCGCGGCGCCTCAGGCCCCTGGTGTTTATAGCCCTAATCGCGCGGCTCCGAGCGCCCGGGCACGCCGCCGTGCTCAGGCTCGCGCGCCGCAGGCTCCGGCAGCTCCCGCTGTGCCGCTCGCAGGCCCCGTCCACAGCCTTTTGCCCCAGTGCTTTCCCAGGGTTTTGGGTGCCGCACACGACAGCAAGCCAAGCAGCGCAAGTCCTGAAAACGTTGCGGCCTTGCAGATGTTTCCACCTGTCTGTGCTTCTTTTGGTTGTTGTTTTGGGGTGGTTTTTTGAGAGGCTTTAGGGCTCTGCTCTGGGTCCAGCGCAAAGGTGGGTGCTCGGCAGCTCCCTTGCAGCCTTCCCCTCTCTTGGAGCATTCCCGTGCTCCCAGCGAGCTCCCCCCGCGCGTGGCCGCGCAGGTCTGCAGGAGGCCGGTTAACACCGAGGCCTTGCTGCTCGCCCGGCCAAGCGCCGGCTGCCAGTCACTTCAGAGGCTGCAGCGCACCTGGAAATGAGCAGCTCTGACCCCTTCTCGAGCAAACATTTACCCTGGTAATGTTTTACCTGCCCGCAGAAGGCGTCAGGTTCACCTTTGCTCCTACAGGTAATTTGTATCCCTAACCATTGACAAATAGTACAAATTGCACACCTGGAGCTGTTACAAACCCCAAGTGATTCAAAGCAGTCCTGTTTTTAAAAAATAAATAAATAAACGAATAAAAACTATCCTGCAGAGCTTTATATGTTCTTCAACATAAGCTGCACGGCAACAATGAAAGCAAAAGAACAGCATTTTGGCTGGTAGCTTAGAAAGGCCAGAAAATGATTTTTCATCACTACAGTAGACGCTTTAAAAAAATATCCATTTCCCCCGATATTTTTATAAAACACACAGATCCTTACTGGTTAAACCTAGGTTCATTACTAGATCTTCCAGCCTGATTTCCTGCATGTCACAGGACTGCTGAGCGCTGGCCAGCTATGCGCACACCAAGCCAAATGATTTGTGTTTTATTAATGCATAATCTCCAGGAAGGTATATCCTGTCCCAAACTGAAGACTGAGAATAAAGAATCCAACAGTGACACTTGCACTTTTTCCCAGTGGTTAGTCAACCTCCTTGTTAAATATTAACGCTTTATTTTCTCCCTGCATTTGTCTGGTTTCACCTTCCAGACCCAAATCCCATTGTTCACATTGCATCAAAGAGCCCATTAACACCAGGACCCTGCAGAGACACTGAGATATTTCAATTTCCCAGTCTGCTCAGACCAAAGAAACCACCTAAAAACTTTAAATCCGCTCCTCCACTGATGATGATGTTTTTAAATACGTCTCAATTACACAACTTGTAATTCATTGCACACAGTCCTGTGGGCCCATGTAAACAGTAATTTATATCGTTATACTTCAGTATCAAACCAAATATCTTATTAAAAAAAATAATTCATATCAAACCAGGAATTTTTATCACATAAATGATATCCTCAAAGAAACAAGTATGATTCTCTCTCTAATCTTTAGACAAGACCAACATTGCTTTACCGATGGTTGCGCATAGCAAAATATATCTACTGAAATAGATCTGCCAGATCAAACTCTCCGTAACAGCACAGCTTTCCTTTCCATGTCTTACAGACAGGTGATTTGAGACTGCTCGACGCTGGTTCAGAACAGGTTCCCACCAATATTCCCACTTAGGCTTAATTAGGCTGGATGCTGTGCTGTGTGTATGCAAGATCCTGTGACCCTGAGACATCTAAAACAAGCAGAACTAAGTATTTGATTAATATTTAAACACAGCAAAACTGTCAAATATTGCACCAGATAAGTTTCTTGGGCAAGATTTCCCTGACAGGATACCAGTAACTTCCACTGAAAGGAGCCACTGATAGTTACTCATACCCTGAGGGGGAGAATCAGAGCCCTGGAGATCTACTTAGTTTTCTGCTTTCTGTGCACATAAAAGCAGAATACATAACAAGGTCATGACAGGCCAAAAATAGCAAATCTTCAAGCGATTGCAATTCAAATAGCTATCAGATCTGCTGGAAAGCAAGCAACTTGACCAGCATACAGAATTTCTGAAGATCACTACTTCTCTTAGAGCGTTTTAAGTTTTATTACCATTTCTCAGAAATCAAGAAAAACATAAGGTACATACTTTTCGGGGTTTTCCACTTCTTCTGTAACAAAATTGAGGTAAAACCTAGAAAGAAAAAAAAAAAGAGTTACAAAACACATAATAAGGGGCTAGTAAATGCTCATTCCAAATTTCCCAACGAATCGTCAAGGTGCTTTTAGTTCAGCTGCGCTCTTAATAACAGCAGGCTCTTTGCAGCCCCACCTTTGGCTTAAGGAAAGCGTGGGATTTAACGCTCGGGAAGGGAGGCTCGCTTCTTAATTCTTGGACAGGACAGCAAGGCAGACAAAAAGACAAAGGCTAGGCAAGGTCTGTGGGCAATGGCACCACGCTCCTTCCCGACACGTTGCGCAAATTAGGGCCAACCTAAGCCTGCACACAGACACACACACAGACAGCTTAGAGGCTGTAGCTTTTTACGTTTTTGGTTATATCAGCAAAAAACCTTATCAGGATACTCAGCAAGGTCTTCTCAGCAACAAGAAAAAAAGAAGCCTCAAAAAGGTCTCTTAAAACCGTGATTTCAACATTAGTGTGGTGCATATGTAATTGCAAATGCAGGATAGCAGTCCTGCATGCCCTTGCACAGACTCCTGTCCAGCAGTGTGCAAGACACACAGGCACACGGGTGCGTTTGGAGGGCTCTTTGTGGGGCACAATAGCAGTCTGTAAATAAATATTTACAGAGAATTTACAAGTGAATTACCCTTCTTTAATTTGGACGTCCTGTCTCACACCTTTGATTAATGAAGACCTATTCCCTTGCACTCTCTCTACTCATCCGTTTTCACCCACCATTTTATATACCCAGTAGACTATCCTTGCTTTTTGCAGGATGAGCTGACACATAGAGGCGATACTACCTTCGCTTTGTATTTTAAAGCGGCATCATTAAATGTTAACAGTGCCATAGGCTATGCATAAAACCCTGCCACCATCCTGGGACACAACAGCAATGCTCGCAACGCTCCTTCACGTTCGGCTTATTGGATTGATTTAGCCCCTGCAACTGATAGTGCAAGGGTATTGACACTCCACTTAATGGTCTGCTCCTCTGCGCTCCCAGACAATCAATTCGGGCTGGTGACAAAGACAAATAGGCAGCTTGGAAGAATCACTAGCCAAATTAGATCTTTTCCTGCTAATTTCTTTTATAAGTGGCAAATAAAGACCTTGGGGAAAAAAAAGTCAGAGGATACAAAGGAAAAATAGTGACGATTTTTATTCTAGGAGTTTAGAATGTTAGGTGGAAAGGGGAAAGAAATGGGAAAGAAAGATCAGAAAAACAGCAATATTTTTGATGTAACATTTTGCAGTACGCTAATTCTGCCTCAGTAGCGAATAACATTAAAGTGCCTTTAAATTTTTCCTCTTAACAAAAACGTACAGTAAGAGTGATATTTTAAAAGCAAGAATCCTAACATGTATGGATGTAAGAG